TTAATCAAAAACGTTAACCTCATCTCCCCCTCAGAACGACTCATCTTCTCTTCCGGTCACGAGCTATGGCGCAAGGGTGGAGCTAGTGAAGTGAGGGGTAAACGCTGGGATAAATGACAGGGGGAAAACAGTGTTGCCAATTTAGTTACTTTGTAACTAGATTTAGCGACTTCCCCGCCCCTTTTGAGACTTTTTTCAAAGTTTAGGGACAAATATAGCAACTTCTTGGTCAAACCTTATCTACTTAAGGGATCTCTGTTGTAAGTCTATGGACTGAAGGGAGGCAAGCCTCCGCTGTAACTTTACCTGCGGGTGTCGCTGTTGGACAGTGTTACTTTATAAAAACTAGTCACTTTTATACTTTTAATGCCATATTTAGTAATATTTGCTATTTATGTTTGAAATATAGATTATTTTGTCATCCAATTTTTACATTTTTGGAGGAGACACTGCCTCACTTGCCAGAGGTAACACCTCTGTTCAGTATATTACCAAAGACTGAAGATTATATCATAGTGATAGATCCTTCCTGTGTGTAATTTATTTACGTCTACGTTGAGGACACTTCATAAAACCCACAGAGGATGAGACCTAACACCTTCACAAGTGACGCATTCAAACTGTGAAGCTCTCTAACGGTCATCTGACAGACGGATGCTTCTTCTTGGTTTTATGGCGAGTTGCAATCTTTGAGCATATCACCACAAGGACCGGTGCTAAGCCAAAGTTAAGCATTATAAACATATTTTTATTCGGCGTTTTGTCAGTTCAAAGTTAGATTTCACTTTAGATTTATATTGTTCTGTGTTATGAAGTTTCCAAATTCCCCTCTTTGTAATTTTATATATTCCTGTTGGTTAATTTGCACGTGAGGTGGCCAGTTACAACCTGAGGTAAATTTTTGTTGCTTGATACCTTTTAGTTGTTTGAATTTTTTACTAAAACACATAACTTCACAATAATATATGTAATATTTTCAAAACTTTATCTGGTGTGAAGTGTTTGTTCTTGTAGTAAAATAGACTTTGTTGTGGATCCTGGACGCTGAGCCTGTGAAATTAGTCTAGAACTTTGAAACGATTCACTAAATATTAAATATCAGTCTGTCTGATCATATATTCACCACAGAGGCCAAAATGAGTGTGAAGCTACATTTATATTAATAATAATCATGATCCATCCACCATTTTTGGAACAGTCTGCAAACCTTTGAGCGCATTGACTGTGTGCATCTACAACAGCAAGTTATACGCGTGTATATTTTTGAATATTCATTGATTATTATGGTGAATGACGTCAAGTTGACCGTTCCAAGATGGCGGATGCGTCAACGTATTTGGAGCGGTCTAATAGGGAATCTATACATTTCTATGGTTGTGACAACCTGTACAGAAGTCATTTCCAGTTCCACCTGCCACACCAGACTCTGCTGTATATGGATGCCTGTCCTCTAGCATTTTTTGTTTTCTTTTCATTATTGTGCATGCAGATATTATTTAGGCAAGTTATGTAAACACTTGACTATTACATGAATAAAGAATGTACCATCTTTAAGAATTTTAATTGGAGTTAATTTGTTAATTGCTTTTGAAAAAATAAAAATGAATTAGAAGTTTTTCACCCCAATTTATCTCCGTGAACATACTGTATGGACCCAACTACACTAAACTGTTTTTGTTGTTGTTGTTAATTGTTATGCACTGTATGATGAGTGAAGTTTCTTTTGTTTCCTTGATTTTAATACAAACACGCTGAGTCTGAGTTGATTTGCATGAGTTTTAATTTAATGCAGCCTAAGAGCGTTTTTGTGGTCCAGAAGCAGTGTAAATTATGTCTAAATGAGACTGCAGATGATACTATAAGATGTTGAAAATACGTCAACAATTACTACATCTGAACTAAATTTTAACCTTCTTGAGTGAGGTCCTGTGGATGTCAATATTGGACGTTCAGAAGACATAAGATATTATAACTTTGATTCTGGGTTCTCTTTTGGATGTACTTTTGCTTATTGGGTATTTTGTGATAAAGACCAACTGGATAGTACATTAGGTCACACACTGACTGAATGTTTACAAAATATACGAGGGTGGGATGGGATTGGGAAATGTGAGTTAGCTAGTTAGCCAGTTTGTGTTAATGGCTCTCATATAATTTCAGGCATATGCTGAGAGCACATTCAAGCAGAAGTGTCAGCGTGGGACTATTTAATGGATATTTTGCAATCTTCTTCCGTGTGGTCAAACCGTGGTAATTTACTTTGACAGCCTTGCAATATTTAAAGAAAAGGTGGTGTAATTGTAATGTTTGAAGTGTCCAGTGAAGTTATTCCCAAAATGGCCATGTCTCATTTTGAAGGGGTTCAATAACAATAGCAATATCAAATACACCCGATGTACTTGTTACATCGCATGAAGAATGGCATCTTCACTAATATCAGTCTGTCTCATTCTTATTCCAAGGTCACCGTAGCCACCCAGACTCAGTCTGTATCCAGATCAGATGGTGGATCAGCACCTAGTGAGACCTGGAGATGAACCCTAGAGTTAGATCCCCTGCAAAGACCTCGTCAACTAGATGGCCATCGTGACAACACCTCAGCAAAGACCACGAAAAACCACATCATGCTGGTTTCATCTGGCCAGAGGAGAACTGGCCTTTTGACTGAGCCTAGTTTCTCCCAAGGTTTTTTCTCCATTCTTTTCAATGGAGTTTTGGTTCCTTGCCACTGTTGCCTTTGGATTGCTTAGTTGAGATCACTTATTATTTGGGAATATTATCAACTTGATTGCACAGATACTGAACTGAGATGACATTAGTGAATCAACAATGAACTGACTTTAAATTAAAAAATTGACTGTTTATTATTGTCCACTTTTTAAAACTGCTTTACATCAGAGCTGAATTTTGTTTGCATTATCAACACACTATTCCTGTTTAACAATGTAATCTGTATTGTATGAAGCACTATATATAAATAAGGGTGAGTTGAATTCTTCATAGAAATGTTTTTGTGCAGTCTATTTTGAACAATTTTGTATTTTAAAGAATTGTATTAGTAGCCTACAATTTTTAACTTTGAAGAAATTGATAAAATAAGATCAAATCAGTCACAAGTTAATTGTAATTACACGTATGTGGTTACTTCATTTTTTCAAGGCAACGGGTTTCCTCAATTTAACTAAGTAGACAGAACTTAGACTTAATGGTTTAAAATTAAGTAGATTTAGACTTTTAAGTAATTGCAATTTAATACATTTAAGTTAGTCCAACTTAAAATAAAAAGTGAACACAACACATTTTCAAACTGTTATTTGTCAGTGTAACTCAGAATTGTCAAGTTCACAACTTATTTCTTTCATTATGCATGCAGTTTACTTAATAATTTAAGGCAACGGGTTTCCTCTTTTTTTTTTAAGTAAAGTCAACTGATCACTTTGTTTTTATGTTACGTGATGTTTTAGCAACATTGGCTGGCTATAGATTATCCATATTAGAAGTTTTTATTTGCAAACATTTTTAGGTCTCAGCGTCAGGTTAGATTTAAGATTCATATGAAAGGAAATGTACTATTGACAAGGAATACAAAGAAAAAACATTTCCAATTTTCAAATGATTAGCTATGACTCCAGCTGATTAACTATGACACATATTGCAGTTAGGGCCAAATTTTTCAAACCTTAAAGGCACACCAAAAAACTTTTTAACATTAAGATAATAAGGAATTGTCTGGCGAAGCCTAAGAAATGTTAGAATTATGTTCAGTTTGTCTGGTCAAACATGTCAATTCATCAAGTAATTCTTATTTATTACAGGGTGTGCGTTAACTGAGGATCTAGGAAGAAAGGAAATTGGAAAGGTCCTAAGCCAAAGCCCTGAAGATCACATGTGCAGCGCACAGGAATTGATGTGAATGAAGGAGTAAACCCAAAGTTCCAATACCAAAATGAGGTTTACAGACCACGGAATATATTTCTTTAATTAAACCAATAACACTACACTGAGAGAGGTTTCCTGTTAGGGCTGATGTACATTCATTCTAGAATTACCATGACTGAACTGCACTGTCATTTAGTATTCAGGGTTTTATTCTGTTGTACCAAAGCAGGTGTTAAATGAAAGCACTCCTGCACATTGCTGGTTTAGTGTATGAATCAGAGCCTGCCTTTCCAGTATTCTGTATTCCTGTTAACATAAGTCAGTTCCTTGGCACAGAGCAAGGGAAGTTCAATGCGTGTACTTTACTCTAGGCGAAAACTTTTCCATGAGACATTATTGGACTAGTTTTTAACCACAACTGGCTGAATTTTAGACATGAAAGAAGGAGCTTTTGTCCCACATCTGCTTTTCTTGCTCTGTTAATCTCTAAATATTTAAACAATATTTTTGTGGATCATCCTTCCAGAACAAATTTAAACATTCCTGAAACCCTATAACATGTTTCCACTGGACTTTGATGAATGTTTATTTAATACCATTTATAGCATAATAATATTTAGATTACTCTGTCCTCCACTCTTAAACTGAATTAAAAATCATTCAAAAATAAGACAATATTTTTCATTCTGAATACTATTACTGTGTTTTGCCTAAAGATATACTTTTTGTGGGAAGTTTTGTTGTCTGTGAGAACCCTTTATTAAACTGGGGTTTTCCCAGTATAAACAGAATGTAATGGAGAATTAATGCTTAATTAAAGTGTCAATGTTCTGTACAAATGTAAGATTGTCATCTTAAGTGTGTTGGCTGTAACGCTAGCTTATAATTGAAAGCCTGTTTTATGTATTCAGAGCCTGGGAATACTTACTGTAAGTGATTCGCATGAGGGAAAATCCTTTTGCTTCTTCATATGCATATTATCAATTTTAATCAAAGTTGCATGTTTTAAAAACCAGCAGTGCTATTATTGGAGGCAGTCATCACCAATATAGCATTAATGGGGAACTTGAAAGAAAAAAGAATTACATTATATTACAATAATGTTTGATTACTGAAACGTCATGGTTTTCACATGGTACAGATTTTCACTGTAAAATCCAATAGTTTACCTTACTTACATTTAATTAGTTATCTTTACTTAGTTGTTATACTTACTAGGTTTTATTAAGTTACAGCTACTTTCAAGGCAAATAAAACAATTTACTTACTGTATTGAGTGACACTTACTTAAAATATTCAAGTAGCCACAAAGGAACAAATGACATTAATAAACCAGTGAGAGGCAGCAGTGCACTAATATGTTGCTAATGAGCAACATAACAACAGAAGAAGAAGAAAAGAAAAAGAGTCTTAATAGACTTTTCACCCATTTCCTCCATGTCTGCAGTTATCTTTCACTAGTTGCATTCACTCGTTCCCAAAGTCATCTTGAATGTTGAATTTTCACTGCAACTGAAATATTTGAGAGAACATCACATAAGCTAACTTCATAAATTGATGTTGATTTTCCTAAAATGTGTTTTTTTAACTCAGCATTATAGTGATTAGCGTTCCCTTTGGTTGGGTGGGCACTTGAAACTTCAATTATGTTTCTGTAATTCTTTTTCTGTTAAAGCAGTAAAGTATCATGACGTCAGAGCTATTTGATTTCAAGGGAAGAAAAGTAATAATCAAGTTGCATTTATAAGGTGTTCTATCTTCTAATTAAAGCATTAGAGTATTTTAATGTGTAAATGCATATTAACGAGCTTTTTCAAGTTTCGTTTTCTTAAGTAACTTGAGATGCTTTTAGTTAGATTTATATAATCCTTAAATAAAGTGTGGTAATGTGCTAAAGTCACACACAGACTTAAACATTCAGCACGTGAATCACAACAATGATAACAATTCAATTGCATTTATTTTCATGAATTGTAACAATAACCATTTTATTTGCTCTTTTTGTTGCGCTACTACTGACAAAAGACAGCAAATAAAATTGTCAAATAAAATCAACAACTAAAACAAAGCAACTGCATAATTTATTCATGCCACAATGCACTCTGGGAGTCAGTGAGTAGCTATACTAATTCATGAGTAAACCTAAATAAAAAGGATCAAGCACCCCCTACTGTTCTTTTTTAGTTACTAGAACTCTTGTGTAAGTTAACTATACTAACTAAGCTTTTGTCAGTACAACATACTATTCCTATTTCACTTTACTTAGTTTTTGCAAGGCAATCGGTTTGCATGCTTTTTTTTAAGTAAGCCCAACTAATTCGATTTTACAAAGCAGATTTTACCCAAACTCTGATTGCTCTGTTGCATGCATTACATAACACTTCTTCCTGTATGCTGTCTTAGGTGTGCTGTCAGCAGTGTGGCGGCCCATGTCAGTGCCAAAGCTCTGTACCAGCCTGCCCAGAAGGTGTTCCTCTCATTCTCGATGGGTGCCAGTGCTGTCAGGTGTGTGCAAAGCAGCAGGGTGAGGCCTGCAGTGAGCTGTATCCGTGTGACAGTGCATTTTGCACCTTTAATTAGTCATTTTTTATGTTGGTTTGAGCATTTGATTAATCCTTTAAGATCAATTATGCCATGGGTTGTACTGGATTTATAATGAAATACTACATAAATTTATTTATAATAATATAATATATAAAATATATATTATATATAGTTTATACTACAGTACCTCAAATGAGAAAATATCATTTTGACAGGGTTGTACTGGATTGATAATGAAAATATATTTTCATTATCAGATTTAAAAATAGCTGCTAAAATGATAAATCAAAATCTCAAATGCAATTTCATTTCCTCACAAATTATTTATAATATAATATAATATATAAATTGTACTTGTTTTACAAAGACAATTTTTTTTTTTACAGTGGGGGCAAATAAAATACAAAGCCAACCTCCACAGCAATCCTTCATAAAAACACCACAACATTTAGACCGGCATTATATATATTGTCAGTGTAATCTTCTGAACCTTTGTTTTTAGGTCAGAAGGAGCTGGGCTGTGAGCATAATGGAGTCTCCTATCAGGAAGGCCAGGTATTTCAGCCCTCGTGTGCTCTTCAGTGTCACTGTTCGGGTGGAGGGGTGACCTGTGTGCCCCGGTGCAGTGAGGATGTTCTCTTGCCCACCCCAGACTGCCCTCATCCTCGAAGGGTTCAACAACCAGGAAAATGCTGTAAAGATTGGGTGTGTGAAAATATGGACAACACGGTGCTTCAGGACGCTCACATAGGTACTTTATTACCCGTCTTAAAGGGGTCATATGATGCGATTTAAATTTTTCCTTTCTCTTTGGAGTGTTACAAGCTCTTGGTGCATAAAGAAGATCTGTAAAGTTGCAAAGACTAAAGTCTCAAATCCAAAGAGATATTCTTTATAAAAGTTAAGAGTCAGCCACGCCAAATACACAAAATAATGTTCTTTTTAGCAGCATCATATGACCCCTTTAATGTCCAGAAAACAATTTTTTTCACGAGCTGGAATGTAAACCGTCTCTCTTTCTTTTGGGATTTTGCATAAATCTTTTTACATGTTTCTTATTCAAATCCCTATCTGAGAACTCTCAATTACATTCCCGTTTGAGGTTGTCATTGTGGGATTTTGACCATTTTAATTGAAAATGTCTTGCCAAGATGGAACCCAAAAGCACAAATTCTAACTTCTTCCCAAAACCAACTTTCCATGATTCATAACAGGACTCATGTCTGTGTAGCACAACAATGAAACTCCAAAAAGCCAGAGAGCATGGAACACAGGACAGGAGGGTGTTCATCCAAGTTAAATCAGCTGGAATGGTACATTTTGTTCCAAGTGTGTTTACAGTGGAGATGTTAACAGGTCCATGTGCATAAAACACTGCCAATGAATGCCTGATTATCATCTCATAAGGATGGAGGTATTTAGTATTGCTTCCTTGGGATTCTCAAATTATAACAATGATTGTCAGATGGTACGAGCTGATTACGAATTTATGCAGCTCTATAAGTTTTAATGAGACAGAATTAAAGGCATAGTTCACCCAAAAATGAAAATGCTGTCATTAATTACTCACTCTCATGTCGTTCCAAACCTTTAGGACCTTCATTCATCTTCGAAACACAAATTAAGATATTTTTGATATTAAGATTATTAAAGATATTTCATTTTTTTGGGTGAACCATCTCTTTAATATTTAAACTTAAACTTAACATGAAATCAACACTGATACTATATACTGTCATTTCTAAATGCATATTGCATGACTTATTGTGTACAATACTGTGCGTGTTATTTTAACCCTTTAAGTCCTTTTCCTAATTTGGCGTTCCCAGTCAAAAATGGCTGCCCTTAAAAAAAGCAATGTGTTCACTCAAAAACAGTGCATAAGCTGAAATCAATAAATCAGTTCCAAAAAAGAATTACAAAACCAGTGCGAAGTGAAAGAAAACATGTTGATAAAAAGATCGAATCCAATATTTGGTAATAATATAACACAAAAAGATGGAAAAAAGTGGAAACATACCCAAAAAGAACACAAATTCGCTACATTTTTAAATTGTGATACTCTTGAGAAAAGTCAGTTTTTTTGTCCAATGTGATAACATTACATAGAATTTTGGGGAAAATTATTAAGAAATATTTTTGAAATGTAATGAAATACACCTGGCTATGTATGAAACATGAGTTCATTGGGTCTGTAATAGTCAGTATGTGGCAATTACAAAGTACCCTGTTTCTTTTTGAAACACGTGTAAGTGTTGTGTAAGTTTAATTGAACTGTGCAAGTCTAATTAAATTGTTTTTGGGATGGCAGCTTCAGGAAGGGATCAGACAATGCCTGGAGACTCTGCATACCAAACCAGACCCGGTTCAAACTGCATAGACCAGAGCTCAGAGTGGAGCGCCTGCTCACATACCTGCGGGCCTGGAATATCCACACGGGTGTCCAATCAAAACCCGGCCTGTCGCCTGGAGATGCAGATGCGCTTGTGCATGATCCGACCCTGTCAGCCTTTTCTCCAGAGAAACCCACAGGTGAGTCTCTGATCTACCATAGGATGCTTTGGTTTTGACCAGTCAAACCATTCTCTAACCAACCCTGCTTCTATATTTCAGTGGTCAAGGAGGAAATGTCAACCCAGCTACAGGTCAGCAAACCCAGTGCGGCTTTTCCACCAGGGCTGCTATAGTACGCAGTTCTACAGGCCCCGTTATTGCGGCTCATGTAAAGACAACCGTTGTTGCACTCCTTACCACACACGCATGGCACTGGTCACTTTCCGCTGCCCTGGAGGAAGACTGCTCAAACATGCTGTCATGACCATCAACTCCTGCATCTGTCATTACAACTGCCCCTATTCATCCGGAAGGGCATATAGAGGGACACCCTTCTGGGGTTAGAAACTGACTCTCTTATAGACTGACTTTCGATCTAGTAGCTTCATATTGGATGCTCTGAGTTTAAAATGTCTTATTGCGTGTTAGTTACAACGAGCCAACTCAAGATTTGATGTTTAATTTCACTGAAAAAAAGAAAAAACATTAAAAAGAGCACTAAAGAATACATAAGCCATTTGAGATTTGACAGCAATGCTTTTTTCAGGACACTGTCTTAAGACGACAGGTGTCTGCTGGTATCTTTGGTGTAATTAAAATATTTTATGAGTTTAAGATCTGCCAGAATTTTTTTCTATTGGGTTTACACATTGGCAGCTGTTTTACTTTGAAAAAACTTTACACTTGAAAGATATCAAACAATTATGTAAGCGTTCAGTCTGCATCTTTGTCAGTTTTGCGCTTATCATTGGACAATTGTGGCTCTCAATGAATTCCAAAGCTATTAGCTCACAAAAGATGAAAATTATGTAAATGAGATCTAATGTTTTCTCCTCATCTAAGCAAAGAAACATCCTGTCTTAGACTGATTTGAAATTTACCTGAAATAACTTTGCACATGAATGCAGAAGAATTAGTTAGATGCTATGTGAAATTTAGACAATTATTTTTTTGAGTTAAATGTGGCATGTTCACCTGTATTTACTGCAGGCTTTTATTTGAAGACTGACACTAGCCGTACTTTAGTGCTTACCAATTTCATGCAAAAGGATTGATTGTGTATATATGTAAATACTTATGTATGTTTCTGTCATTAATACTAGAACCTTTAACATTTGTGTTCATTTGGAATATTTCAAGTTTATTGCACTGTAATTTGCCACCTCACATCTTTGCAGTCATTTGTCAGACCTTATGCAAACGTTTTTTAAAAAATCTCATCATACAAATCTCATAAATACTCAATAACATGTTTTTTTGTGATGTGTGCCTGTCTCATTTTCTTGGGGTCTAGTAGCTTTATTAACTTTTGACATTCACATATTATAAGGAAATTATTGTATCTAGCTAAATTTAGCATACATAAATGTAAATACGGGGAAATACGCATTTTATTTTTTATTTTTAAAGCGGAAGTTCAACAATAGGCCTACCTAAAACAATATTAAGTTAATGAAATCAAATCTAGTAGCTTGAGTCTCTCACTCTACAGCGATTCAGAAGTGTAAGGCTGCCCTCTCTTGTTTTTACGAGGAAAGGCAAGCAAGAATTAGATGCTCTGTTTTGCATTTGATAGAATTTGTTCCATTTTGCAAGGGATTAATGTACATGAATGAAAAAAATACAAAAGAAATAAAGAGGATATTCAGTGTAATGATAATAAGTGAGATTTTTTTATTACATGTACTCCGGGTATAACTATACAGTATAGTGATACATAATTACATATCATTTTATTATTAGCCTACTTTATAATTAAATTACTCAAAATATAAGTAAACAAATATAGGTCCTTTAGAATTCACAGACAAAATATATGATTATTTTATGTATAAATGTATAGGCTAATATATAAGTGCTGTTTCTCTATAATCTAAATTAGTTAAAGCTCAAAGTTCAGAGTTTTCTTTGGCATGTGCTGTGCCTTTCTCGGTGAAGGCATCAGTCAATGTGCTCACTTCCTGTGCCATATTTTCATGTGCGAGAATTCTCATGCATCTCCAACCTCCAACAAGAAAGTCTGATTGTCTTAATCAACGATGGAGTCCAATTCTACCTGTAAATTTGTCAGTTTTGATTTCACGCACACATTTTTGCCCACAGTCTACGTGACTGTTTTCATCCTTGGAGTTATTGGCAACTGTTTGGGGCTGAAATCTATGTATGATAACTGGAGGAAAATTGGTAATGTAAATATCTTTGTGTTCAATCTTTGCCTGGCGGACATTTTATATCTTTTAACCTTGCCCTATTTGGTGGTTTACTACGCGTCCAGCAGCAAATGGATATTTGGAGATGTTTTCTGCAAGATTTTAAGAGTGTGCTTCTGCATCAACCTGTACGGCAGCATTGGTTTCCTCACATGCATCAGCGTTTACAGGCATCTCGGCATCGTTCACACTTTGAGGGCTAAAGGCAGAATTACAGCGAGACACTCTGTGATGATTGCTTCGCTGGTGTGGTTTTTGGTTTTTCTTCAGTGCCTGCCTGATATGTTCTTTGACAAAACCAACAACAACGTAACATCATGTTTTGACACAACTTCGGACAAGTACATTAGGAAATACCTGAAGTACAGCATCGGAAGAACGGTTGTTGGATTTGGGATCCCGTTGTTAATAATGTTATGCTGCTACGGACATGTGGCGTTTACTCTGATGACAAAGAAAGACATCGATGTCATCTTGAAGCTGAGGTGTCTCAGACTGGTTGTCATCCTGACCCTGCTCTTCTCTATTTGTTTTATTCCTTATCACATTTTTAGAAATTTAAACCTGGCAACTCGAATCTTCAAACTGGACGGCACGTGTCTGAAATGGTATTCTAATGTGTACATCGCAAACCAAGTTGGTAATGGATTGGCCTGCATGAATAGTGCGATCAATCCACTGGTTTACCTCTTTAACAGTGATGAATTGCTGATGAAGTGTTTCGTAAAGTGCGGACGAGCCCGTCGCCAATCGGCTGCCGTCTCTCTTGTGGCAGACTGTCCCTTACAGAATTAAATTCTCGACAGCATGGCAATGAATTAGATATGAATATTCTTTGTTGTGTGATGACGTTTTCTCGCTTCGAGGACATGGATGTTCATCTTTATGAAAGTTGTGGTTATTTGGGGCCCAACTGCTATACATCTTGTGGCAGGATATAGGCTATGCTCTCATACCTTATTGTATTCTGAAAAACAGAAGGGAGTTTGTTCTTATTGTCTTTCAGCTTTCAACCATCAAGGTCATTATACTGGATAATCATAGCTAAATGTGGTGTATTTTTATGTGGCTTGCAATGCTTAGTTTTACACATTGAATGACTGAAAATAAATGTTTGCTTTTTATGTTTGCATACATACATTCATAACTTCACAGATTTTTGAGTTGGATAATGTACATTCATCAATATCACAGTAGTGCTCTAGTTTCTAAGCAACATAACACTACTAAAACACAAATTGACCTAATGGTTTTTATTGCACAAGATTAAACAAATGAACAGTGTTATAATATCCACATTAAGATATGACACACCAAGCAATCTTACATGACTGGCATGTGGTAAAGTAAAAGCAAAACTGAAAGATCTGAACTTTCCTCAAGATTGACAAGATAGATAGATAGACTTGCATCCCAATACATGAACAAAACTATGCAAGGTAAAGATATATTAAATACAAAGAAGATGGATATAGTTTAACTAAATATTATAAAGAAACGTTACCTTTCTTTTGTATGATGAATTTTGGTATTGTGTTTTGTCTACACTTGATGGCCAACATAAAAAA